TGTTTACTGATACTGTGAATGTAAATCCCCTTCAGTGTGCCAGTGAGTCACACTTCAGGCTTCATGAATCATACATCCGCCCACCACAACTAAGGAGACCTCAAAACTAAGTGACTTGGAAGACACTAACAAAGCTTGGAGTGTGTGTGTGTGTGTGTGTGTGTGTGTGTGTGTGACTTTATCAATTTAAGAGGATGTTTTTATCCATGAAATAAGAATAGGAGCATATAGGGATCCAATAAAAACAAAATGAGTTCTCTGTCACTTAACAATATGATAGAAAAAATAGGCACAGATGTAGAAAATACCCCAGATGTTAAATGTAAGTCACAAAAGGAAAATTGGAAAATAAGGAAAACTAAAAATACAGAGTTCTGTCTTGGTATTTCACCATTCAAAAATAGTGGTTCCAGGAAGCCTGCACAGGGTTTTAAAAAGAAGGTAGCTATCAGTACAGAAATTAAAAAATAAGTATAAATCACAAATTCTGAACTAGAATTTATGGTGGAGATATTTGGGAATTAGTTATATAAGCATAAAAACTAATCAAATAAGAGGAAAAAGGCAAATATTAACTTCACAAAAATAAAGGTTCTTTGGTATAGTAATCCTTTATAGGTCCTTTCCCTCTGAAAATGATACTTTAGTATTATTGACAAAATTGACATTTACATTCAATGTTACAATAAAATATTTTGTCTGACAATTTGAAAGCAAAGTTTGGCACCAAGGTCAAGTGTAACATGGAGAAGTGTATGTACCTCATTTATTTATTTATTTGTTTGTTTGTTTTTAAAGATTTACTTATTTAGGCATACAGGAACTGGGATACAGGACAGAGGTACAGAGGGGTGGGGTGAGAGGATTCACCAGAGACAGAGTGGGGAGCAGAACAGACAGATCTGCTGAAATACACTGCTGAGGGGAGCAGTAGGTGGGTTAGTAGAGGTCTGCCTCGCGGTGTGGGTCACCTCCCTGGCCGGGAATGAAACTCATGCTGCAGTGGCTGTGATAGCTTCGTGGTGCTGTGCTTTAACCTACCTGCACTACCAGGGAGGGCCCTGTATTTCATTTTAAAGTCAATATAGGTGTGTAGGTATTTAGGTGCAAAAGTAATTAAAGTGCAATATTAAAATTATGCTGTCAACATGATAGTTTCCAAAGATAAATACCTATTACAAAGTTATAAGCCCGTTTTCTATTTTTTTCTGTTTTTATGTTCATGCACTTTCACTTGATATAGAAACTATTATGTGCCCACACATGAATTTGGTTAAAAGTTCAGAGCAAAGGCATATTATGCAATATAAGGGTAATTCTTTTATATCTATAATTTTTTTCTTCCAAAATAGTTGCAAGTTGTTTTTTATTTTTAATCTATTTTCACATTGACTATCCTACTGTATATACCTGGTATTTTTATACACTGCATAATATGGTATTGATATGAAATATAAAGTAGATTTATTAAACATTAGAAAGTACATATTTAAATGAAATTTATTTTTAATTAAAACTCTTATTTTACTATTACATATATTTCAAACCCTAGTTAATAGCCTTAAAGACCAAGAAGTTTCAAAATATTAACTATTTAAAATGTTTACCATCTAACTTAATAGAGGAATACTTTTCCATTTTTTTTTAAATCTGCAATAAAAAAAATGAAAGGATTTTTCAAAATTAAAAGTGCATTTCTATAGTAGGCCAGAAATCATGGTTTTTATAGACTGCTAAATAAGCTGCTAATATTATTAATAATCAGTTTCAGGGCATTCATTTTCTCACTGATGCTATCAGAAGGTTCAGCGCATGAATTTTAGGACCTCTTCAATGCTGAATTTCAGTGGATTTAATATTAATATATACGAAATAGTAACTACAACACAAGTTTGTCTTCAGACCTGCATGTAGATTATTTATTTTCTGGTATTTTCCTATGGATTTTTCTTCAGTGACACATTTTCAGTTAATATAAGCAAATTTAAAAATCATTCTAATTAAGTCATTAATAATTTATGTATACTAATCCAAATGTGAATACCATGTATTTTAAAGTCACTATAAAATTATTATTCATAACCACAGACGTCAATACAGTCCATCGAACATCCTACCTATTCAAATACACTCACATAGAGTGCCAGGCAGGCAACAGAAACTCAGGGCAAAGCACAAGGAAGGAGAGCAAAATCAATTGTCCGAGGAGATGGCAAAAGGATTCATGCTATGAGTTAGGCATCAAATGTAGCCTGGTCTGGATCCAAAAACACTGAGAAAGACTACCCTCAGTAACTGCACGGTATATGCGCAAAAACGAGAAGGACAAGTTCAGGGCTTGTCTGGTGATTGAAAAGTAGATTTGATGACTGGGATGCTATTTGTGCAAGTACATAGAAGCCAAAGCTAATACAGACTGGCCGGGCCCTGCATGGTGGCACAATGGGTTGGGACGCAGCACGGCAAGCTAGCCAAAGCCGCTTCAGTACGAGTTCTACCCCGAAGTGCCCAGGTGACCCACACAGTGCAGCAGACCTCCTCTGACTTGCAAACTGCTCCCCTCAGCAGTGTACTTTGTTGATCTGCCTGTTCTGTTCCCAGCTCTGTCCCTGATGAAGCCTCTCATCACCCCTGCTCCTCTAGCCCATGCCCCAGTTTTGTATGTCCAAAATAAATTAATAAATAAATCTTATAAGAGAAAAACAAAAACAAAAAACAAGACTGGCCAACCAGATGGGGGTGAAATTGTCAAGCCAGATAAGTTTATGAATGCTTGAACAAGAACTAAATTATATGTATTATGCATCAAGGAACTATGGAACGGATACATTCATCCTGAGTCAGAAGAAAGAGAGGAAAGAATTGTAATAGGTATAGAAGGTGACATGTTTTAGAAACATAAGAGAAAGTTGCAAGATTTTATTCCTACTGAGTATGATAATGAAATAGGTTGGTACCCAAAGAAATGACACATCTGGATTAACTTTTAACTAAAAGACAGTGATGATCAGAGAACAATGTTCAACTGAGGTTTTGTGTAGATTATAATACTTGAAATTATATTTTTTCATTTACTAAATCTCTGCCATTTCAGTATATGAATTGGGTGACTGAAACTAGGTTCTGACATGCTGGATTATTGAGTCAGTCTATATTCAAAGGGATGGAATTGCACAGAAATTCAGCAGTAAGAGTTAAAAGGTTAGAATTCTAAACTTATCTTTATTTCATTTAACAATAGCATATTAATAAATGCTAAAGATTCTGTTAGCAAATATAGCTTCATTTAACCCCCTCAACAAGCATTTGAGGTACATGTGACTATGATCCACATTTTTTGGCTAGGGAAACTAAGGCCTGCATTCATTCATTCATCCACTCATTCATTCACTTGAATGTACCTGTTTTTTAGTGGAGTCAGGAGTCCAGGCTTTTAAGTACTGTGCTTTTCTATATTTAAATGAAAAGCAGGATAGGAAGAAGTTGCATTAACATGGGCTGAGGTGAAAAAAAACATGAGGGCTTGAACTATTAGAGTAAGAGCAGACTTTGGAAATTACTAGGCTTAGGTTGTTGAAACTGAAGAGAATTGCTGAGTTAAATGGAGGTCACAGGATGAGAAAAGCAAAGAGACTAAAAAGGGATGTACTGAAAGACTCTCCATAAACTATCATAACTGGCTGAAAGTGAAGACAGCGTATCAGCCCAGGTTTAATGTTCTCATCCATGAACAGAAATGACTGGTAACTGATATCAAAAAGGAGAGGCAAAGTTCTTGAAAAGGTCATGTGGCTGAGTTAAGGAAAGCAAGATGAAGAAGAAAAATCATCCTCAGAATGATTCTAAGAATACCTGAGCAAACTTTCTCTCTGGCATTGCTTCAAAGAAAGCCAGAGAACATTAATATTTGCTTTGGAATGAGTTCTCAGGAATACAAATAAATACTGAAATGCAAATTGGCAACATTTAGGAATAAGTATATTAGAATGATACTTAAAAATTATCCATAACTTAAGCAATAGTCTAAAATGATGTTAAATTCCTTTTTAAGAATATAAATATTATCCACAAATTACTATTAAATTTAACTAAACATGATCCTATTCATAATTCTAAGATATCACAAGCCTTTATTTGTATTAATAATCAAATTATTTATATATTTTCAATAGCATTATTTAGTTAATTTTAATAATAATCAATAAAATTAAGATTATCAAACAAATCGCTAGCTCTATACTTAACAAGAAACTTGGAGACAGAATAGATTATTAAATGAGCAAACTTGCTAAATGTTTGAAAAAATATTTGTGCTGCATTGAGTATAATTGGCCACCAGAGGGAGCTAAGTCACTATATTGTGATAAAGAGACTCATTTCCTATTCAACTATTAGTACTTCTAGCTGAAATAACTGCTACATTGGAGAAGAATCAAACGCAGCCCTTATTTAACTTTTCATAATAGCCAAAATCAACTCTTCCAAATGACAATCTAATGTTTATTGTTAGATAAATTATCTGCCCCTAGCAAAGAAAAGCAGCGGTGCTGGTGGTGTCCAGAAAGATTTCCAAAGCAGAAAGCTTACTTTGTGCGTGTATAATGGTAGATAGTGAGTCCTCTTGCTGACTAAGGTGAGAGTCTCTTCACATACTATAAATACATGTTTTGTTTTTTCATAACAACTCAAAGGATACTTTCCAATATCAAATTATTTCTGAACTGAGGGACATTTACAAAGTCACTTGATACACAAATATGCTCAAGAAATACTTCATGATAAAGGTAATGAATAATAAATAACCTGAAATTTTGATAGATTCTTCATACCCTTTATTGTTTAATTCTCAGTTGGAAATTTATTTTATTATTAACCAAGATCACTATTCTTAGCTAGAATTTAAACAACCAGAGTAGATACAACTTTCATTCAACCCATCAATATCCAGTCTCTTCCCCTAATCCCAACCATGCTAATAAACTAAATGAAGAAATACATACACTCAAGCTTATCCTCGGGTCTTCCTCTTTCAAGAAGAGACAGGTAACAGACAATGTCCTTCAGGTGGATCACTTCAGGGGAACTTGTATTTGCAGGAGAAGTACGGGGAGAGTTGAGGGTACCTTTATTCATCTTCAGACCTGGAAAAAAAATATTCATAGTACTCTTAAACACAAAACATCAAATAAAAAAGGGGTCGGGGGAGAAATAACAAAAGAGCACATAGACAGCAATATATTTGATATATTAAGTCAGGAACAGAATAACTAAATGCTACAAAGTCCAGAGTCAGATTTATTCTATAACTTGTAAATAATGGTTAGTTTTCTGGGATTCAGGATGTGGTTTTGCTCTCACTGACCTTTAGAGGACACTAGCCAGGTGAATTGATAGAGAGATTGGAAGTCAGGAAGAACCAGACCCATGTTTCTCTATTTTAAAAACTAGCAACTATAAATGAATCAATTGGGAGGATACTAAATGTTGGCCTTTCACCAAAAAAAAAAAAAAAAAAAGAAGAAGAAGAAGAAATATGAGTCTAAAGCAATATAATTTATGTGGGATAATCAAGAATCATTTATTTACAAAACCTTGGAAGTGTATGCCAGATATTTGCCAAAACCATGAGTAAGACTTCTTTTCTGCTATCAAGGAATAAATCCATGAGTAGAGAGAATATAAATATTTGGATCAAAACTAAGGTACACATCTGATTAGAAAAGTAAGGATGCATGACAGTAGTTTGGTTTTAATATAACCTTTATTTATTTCTGAAATCCTTCAGTGAGTTTATCCCAAGACAACAGTAGAGAACTTGAATGCTGTTCACAAGAGCTGATGTCAACAGATTATTCAACTGATGGTGATAACAAAATTTTAAAATTTTACTTCCACTTTTCAAAGACGCCTTTGAAACCAGATCATTTATGCTCAACAAGATCTGAAAGTGAATCCCAAAGATCATGTGATGTACATTTGGTGACAAGACAGTCATCTGGAAAGATGACTAGAATGCAGAGTAATCCCAAACAAATCTAGTTCCACTAGGCTGTCATTCTTTAGCCCACCTGTCTGAACACATCTCTTGCTCTAGTCTATTTTCTTTGATGCGTCACATTAGTTGAATACCTGTCACCTCCTCTGGCCATCTAATTGGATGCTTTTTAGTCACAAGATTTCTCATTGTCACTACTAGTAAAAGGCACATTGAGTGTCTAGTATGTGTCAAAGTCATGATAGGGCTCACTTAGTTTTCAAATTACTCCTACCAGGTAGATTTTATTCATACTATTTTGGAGAAGAGAAACAGAATTGTATAGCAAGCAAACCAATCCTCTTTATTACACAATAGTGATTTAAGGTTATGTTTATTCAAGAACAATAGTAAAACAAATAATTTGCATATAATCTGGCATATACACATCATTAGCAGGTTTCATAAGTGCCCTCCAATTTTCCTTTTATATTAGTATTTTTTATTATTCTAGTTTATTCTTATAATTCTTTCAAAGACCCTCTAAATTGAATTGAATACCCACTAACATCATAATTTATAGTTTAAAACATTACGCAACAACCTTATTTTCTTTATCAAAGTCAACCTTTTTACAAAATATATTTCTATGCTTCACATTAATTCTATTTCTGTTTATTGTGAGTTAAAAATGATATATAAGATAAGCTGGTTATTTCTCAACAGTATCATTAAGACCTAGTATAAACTAATATAGTTATCATTATAAACCAAAGAAGGCATAGAATTAAAGACAATCATGGGCTTAAAATAAAAAGTATTGCCCACTGCCTGCACCACCACCACCACTGGTGGCGAAACCGGTTAGGACCCAGCACTGCAAGCAGCTTCACCGCTGAAGGTGATCCACATGGCCCAGCAGACCTCTCCTGACCCGCCCCCTCAGCAGTGTATTTCGTCAGTCAGCCTCTTCTGCTCCCCACTCTATCTCTGGTGAAGCCTCTCTCCATCCCTGCACCTTTGGCCTGCACCCCAGTTCTGTATGAATAAATAAATCTTTTTTTAAATTTTTTTTTAAAGTATCGAATCAAACAAACTAAATAAAGCTCAGCCAGCTGCAGGAATAAGCATCTCCAACTTTGGATAAAAGACATTTTGGCGCTGGTCCTTGACATGACCATAACTTCCAGACGAGAATACAGCACTTGAATCATGGTTGGATAAACTATGACCTAACTCATCCTGCCTGATGAGCTAATCCTCTCTCCTATGTTTTTCTTTATGGTACTGAAGTGATTTAATCAGCTTGATTTAACTCTTATACAAAACAAAGAATAAATTGAGAAGGAATGAAAAAAAATCATGTTGGAACATTCATTTAAAAGAACACCAAATGTAGTAATATTTTCACTTATTTAGACACTTAAGTACAGAGGCCTCTGCACTTAAAAATCTAAGATACATGGTATTTTGTTATCAACTACATAAACAAAAATATAAGTAATTGAGCTTGCATATTTATCTGTTTGGCTTTCTTATATATGATGTGTTGAAAATTAGCATGCACGTATATATAACTTATTTTTGACCCCACCTTTTTAAAAAAGCAAATAACTGTACTAAAATTCTTTGCAAAAAATATATGTCCCCTTTTTTGTTCACATGTCAACTATAAACTGTATCATGCACTATGTTAGTTTTAAATTTAAGATAACTTTAAATTCAAGTGTGAATGTATATGCACACATATATTTAATACACTGAAGAACCAGCTTCTTGAAGTCCTGTTGTAACTAAACTTGAGAGGTAAAACGTATACTTTATTGCAATAATTTATAGGGGTCACCAAATTAAAAGCTAAAATGTCAAAGACCTTTTTTTTATATAATTACCTCATCTAAAGCAAACGTAAATGAAGACTTCATTAACTTTTGAGGTGCTGAACTGTTTAAAAAAATACTCAAAATTTTTATTCCTTTCTCACGCCACCATGAATATCAGCCAATTTTCTCTTTTGTGCTGAAAATGTTTATATTCTTCATATTTGTGTTTAATTTTCTGAAAACAGACCCTGGACTACCATATGATACAACTTTGCAGAGATTGTTTTTATATCTCTACCCTATAGAATTCTTTTTCCTTTACATAAATCTGGCCGCGGATCTTTCTCACGCCCGCTATTTCTCTTCACTATGACAGTGTGTTATCCTGAAGAAATATTCTTTTCCTTTTGAGGATCAGTGCCAATGACCATGCAGCACACACAGAAGAAAAAACAAATGGCAAGCCCCAAATTGCTGGTTTCTTGACACTAACTTCCAATGAGGCTACCTTCCTCAGGAATAGAAGTGTCTTCTGATGAAGAGGATCAAAATTCTGCTTCTCATTAAAAAAGACCAACTGAAGCCCTCCTTGGTGGCACAGCGGGTTAAAGCACAGTACTACAAGCAAGCGGCAGCTGCTTTAGTGCTGGTTGGATCCCAATATGGAACAGCAGACCTCTCCTGATCTGCCGGCTGCTCCCCTCAGCAGTGTACTTCACTGGATCTGCCTATTCTACTCCACACTCTATCTCTGGTAAAGCCTCTTGCTGCCTCTGCACCTCTGGCCTGTATCCCAGTTCTGTATGCATAAATAAATAAATCTTAAAAAAAAAAAAAAAGACCAACTTAACCCATCCAAGTATTGGCGGACTCTCTTCAGAATTGAACTGAACAGCAAGTGGTCATTAGATAGCTCTAAAGATATGTGATTTACTGACACTGAATTTGTGACTTCTCTGACTTAAGCTTCTGTTTCTTTAAGTATCTCCTTGCAAAAGTTAAGGAAACATATATATATATACAGGCCAGTTATGTATTCATATTCGGACATAAATGTATAACTACATCTATGTCATGTGTTCAACCAATATTCTGCAACTTGTATGTGTTACATATACTGCAATATACAGTTAAGCACACAAAACAAGTGAAAAAGAGTATTGTTATTTAGAGGACTTTGGCTTTACTAGGACATCTTGTATTCTGTAAGCATTCTGTTTGTTTGTTTGTTTCCATAATGATTTGTGTGTGTGTGTGTATGTGTGCAGACATTCTGTTATTGAACATTTTAGCTATAAAAGTTAGTTAACCCTAGCTAAATTGAATATCCCTCTTATTCCACATAAATTTTCATGGTAATCAAATCAAAGCTCCTTTTCTTGAAACTGTAACACAAAAAGTTGTGTTCTAATAGATACTTTTAATTCCAGTTCTAAGGTTCAATTATTGGCAAATAAGTTTTGGGTACATGTTCAATTACTATCTCTGCTCCTCTTTGTTATTTTCAAACACTTGCATTTCAGATAATGAATTTGGTAGCATTATCTTCATTACTTCCCTTCATTTATAAAAATGAAATATTCAAAAACTAATAACATTTCTAAACTTAGAATTACATCTCTAAGCTTATAAGGCAATGACACTCTGGCAATGTGGCTTTTCCATTTTTTACATTGGTTCAATTTGCAGAAATGTATTAGGCTTATGAAGCAATTTGTCACATAGTATAATCATATTTCTAAAATTCACATAAATAGTCATAATGGGAACATGCATAATCAACAGTAAAAAAAAAGTTATTTGGTATTATCTCACATTTCATTATTTTTAGACAGACCCTTCAAACCATGCCTGTCTCAGGATAATATTGTAATTATTCTGTTATGCTTACACAGCCTGGAAGCAAGATGAAATAGGCTGAGATGCAAAATAACTGTGATTCCTCAGAAAATGGGGAGTGGTATGCAGCCCCTGACAGTAGCCTGGGGTCGGCAACAGTACCTCTGCACCCCCCACCAAGAACATATGAACATACTCTGTATCTCATCTGTTTGGACTGCCACAACCTCCCCAAAAGAGCAATTATGAGACTTGGAGTTATGTTTTAAGGGTAGAGCAATCTCTATGGAGAAACAACAATAACACTCCAGGCTGTTTGCCAACAACACTTACTTGACCTGACTATTCTAACTTAGAGATAAGAGGCTGGAAAGTATTACTGGTGATGACGAGCATGCAGCAATTGGAGATGGCAAGAGTTAAAGGCAGATCACTCAATTTCATATTTGGGGCTCTTTTCAGACACTCAGAAACATGATTTATGTTATTAGCCCCTTCAATAGGA